ATCCACCGCTATTCAATAGCTCATTAAATATTCAACAGTAGCATTTTCAAGTACTGAGAAATAAGCATATGAAGCTTCACCTCACTTTGAAGAAATGCCTTGTTTCACCGCACCCCCCCCCAGAAGTAAGTGTGAAGTAATCTCATTTCACAACTTCTCTTCTGTGCAAACTGACTACTGTCAGGTAAGAAAGACTTCTCCCTAGAAAAGGACAATCTTCAAAAAATCAGTAATATATAAAGTATACAGTTTCATTTGGTTTGACCACTACAATAATCCTTGTACCTCTAAGTCTTTCCACCCCAGTGGCTGGCCTAGTACGTGGCACAGCAGTTGTCCACCCCTGCTGCCCACTGGACTGACCGGTAGAGCTCCTGCCCCAGCAAGCATACCCAGGACAGACACAGATAATTAGTTAAGTACCCAGACCCAGCACCTAGAACTTAATACAGCCAGCCAGATGCAAGTGCTACAGAGGCGAGTAACCCTGCCTTGAAAATGCCTCTTGTATCAAGCAGTCTCATCTTAGTTCTCAAACTTGATCTGTTCTCTTGCATTTCCCAGTCCAGTCAGCAGCCCACCACATACACTTCAGGACTAGAATCTCTTGCCAGGTCCGAACCCTCAAAACCAGCTCCCATCCCTCCTCCTCTTTGATGAGCTATGTCCGGTGCTCACTAAGTCCCATTGGTTGATTTTGTCCACAGTCCTGAAACGCAATGACTTCCACTGCCCCAGCTAAAATGAACCCTCTCTGGCTCAGACTATTTCACCATCTGACCATCTCCACCAACATCTGTTCTCTCCTTACACCCCACTCCATGCCCCACTTGGTTTTACAACAATGCTACATCCAAAGTACCCCCCTAGTAAAGCCCTCCCATGTGTAGGCCACCCTTACTGCTTATCTATGTTAATATAATCTAGAAGGTACACAAGAAACCAATAGTTCTGTTTGTCTGTTCTCCTGGGGGAGGGGCCTTGCAGCTAGAGGCCAAGGTGAAAGGGAGATTGCACCCTTCTGAAATGTGAACCATTTTGAGTTCTACCATTTAATGTGCTGCCTCTTCAAAGCCACCACATAAAAACAAAAGCAAACACTTCACATATCTTCCTACCAAGAAACAAAATAAAACTAAAAACCACAGGACTCCCCAACACAGCACTTTTCTTTTTCTTTTCTTGCCAATCCTGGGGCTTGAACCCCAAGCCTGGGCATTGTCCCTGAGCTTTTCTAGCTCAAGGCTAGAACTCTACAACTTGAGCAGCATCTCCACTTCTGGCATTTTTTGCTGGTTAACTGAAGATAAGTCTCATGGACTTTCTGCCTGGGCTAGCTTCAAACGGTGAACTTCAGATCTCAGCATCCTGGCTAGTTAGAATTACAAGCATGAGCCACAGGTGCCCAGCTCAAACTCTTTTTTTTTGGTCAGTCATGGGGCTTGAACTCTGGGCCTGAGCGCTGTCCCTCAGCTCTTAGCTCAACCTTTTTTCTAAGTTAGCTCTCAATAGTGCCCTGGTACCCTGACACAAGACATCTGTGGTTTGAGGAGCTTCTGATCCCTTACCTGAGAGTGCCCCACTCTGCTCAGTTACCTCACCTGACTGAAAGCCCAGCTCACCTCCAAGCCCTTCCCTGGGCTTCCACACATTTCTCCTAACTGCGCTGGGAATCTCACTGCCTTTCCCACCTCCTAAGGTCACTGGAGAGCTGCCCTTTCTCGCTTTATCTTGGTACTCTCCACAGCACCTGACAGGGACTAACAGGACACAGCCAGCAAGCAGAGTTAAGTTGAGAGTACTGAAAAGTGAGAACACAAATGCTGTAGTGTGCAGACTATCACTACAGAACCCAGCCCACCAAACCAAGCCGTGTGGCACAGGTAGTAGGGGGAGCTTACTTTCTCCTATACTGTGGAGAATGGAGGCTGAGGACAGACACTGTAAAGGAGTGGAGGGAAATAGCACTCTGGCTTTCTTGGTCACTGCTCACTCATCCAAGACTCTGGCCCAATTAACATTTTTTCTTCTTTTTGCCAGTCTTGGGGCTTGAATTCAGAGCCTTGGTGCTGTCCCTGAGCTTCTTTTGCTCAAGGCTAGTACTATACCACTTAAAGCACAGCGCCACTTCCGGCTTTTTCTGTGTTATGTGGTACTGAGGAATAGAACCCAGGGCTTCATGCGTGCTAGGCAAGCACTCTACCACTGAGCCGCATTCCCAGCCCTGGTCCAATTAACTCTCTAAGCTTTAATTTCCTTCACTGAAAAAGAGTGGCAGGACAAATTCCCCCAAGTTCCTTTTCCAGATCTAAGAATCTAAATCACACTGCAAAAAAAAGGATCCCATTTCACCAACTTCTGATGAAAAAAGGGTACACTTCACTTTTTACAAAGCATGTTTTATGTACTGTACCAACTAGTTTTGAAGAGCTCCATTTCCAGCTTCCCACCTTATCCCTAGTTCTTACTACATGACTACAGGAATATTTGCAGAGTTACTCCAATGGCTCAGAAAGCAAAAATACTGCCCCCAGCTCTTTACCTCAGTTTAACAACACTACTAACCAATTGAGGATGTTTTTCATCTTTTCTTTTTTTTGGGGGGGTCCGGTCATGAGGCCTGAGCTCTGGGCCTGGGCACTGTCCCTCAGCTCTTCAGCTCAAGGCTAGCGCTCTACCACTTGAGCCACAGCGCCACTTCCGGCTTTTTTCTTTTTGCTTATGTGGTGCTGAGGAATCGAACCCAGGGTCTCAGGCATGCAAGGCATGCAAGCATTCTACCACTGAGCCACCTTCCCAGCCCCCTTATCATTGGAAGACTTCTTTGGCAGATCATTGATTCTTTGTTCATTGAAAGCAATATACATTAACAAAAAAAAAAGATCAAATCAGTAGCTCAAGAACCAAGAGACAGTGGGCGCCAGTGGCTCCTTCCTGTAATCCTAGCTACTCAGGAGGCTGAGATGTGAGCATCACTTTCAAAGCCTGGGGGGAGGGGGAGGGAGTCCATGTGACTCTTATCTCCAATAAACCACCAGAAATCTGGAAGTGGTGCTGTGGCTCAAGTAGTAGCATGCTAGCTTTGAGCAAAAGGAGCTCAGGAGCAGCCTGTCATCCTAGCTACTGAGGAGGCTGAGATCTGAGGATCATGGTTCAAAGCCAGCCCGGGAGACTCTTATCTCTAATAAAACCTCTCGAAAACCGGAAGGGGCACTGTGGCTCAAGCGGTAGAGCACTCGCCTTGAGCTGAAGAGCGCAGGGACAGCGCCTAAGCCCAGAGTTCAAGCCCCATGACCGGAATATGTGGGTAATAGAGTGGGTAAGATGAATAATTAGAAGACCTGGCTCTTCTCTAACTCCCAGCGTTCCAGCACTTCCCTGAAGGTGGGGGAAGGAGGATCACTTCAGCCCAGAAGGTGGAGGTTAGCCTGGGAAAAACAGCAAGATCTCACTTCAGAACAAACCTACAGCCGGGCACTGGTGGCTCACGCCTGTAATCCTAGCTACTCAGGAGGCTGAGATCTGAGGATCTCGGTTCAAAGCCAGCCCGGGCAGGAAAGACCGTGAGACTCCTATCTCCAATAAACCACCAGAAAACCGGAAGTGGCACTGTAGCTCAAGTGGTAGAGCGCCTGCCTTGAGCTGAAGAGCTGAGGGACAGCGCCCAGGCCCAGAGTTCAAGCCCCACGACCGACCAAAAAAAAAAAAGAACAAACCTACAGTAGAGAAGATCCTTTACAGACTTATAGATGTACAAGATCCACACACTAGCCAGCAGTGCATGCAACTTAAACTTACAAATTGTTCATTTCTGTGCAAAACCAAAGCTACATTACCGATCACTCTGAATTCAGATTAAAAACTGATTACAAAAAAAAAAAAAAAAACTGACAGCACCACTTATTCCAATGCCCAACTTTGCTTTAGCCTATGGAATTTAAAGTAAACAAAAATGCAACATCACTTGAGAAGTGAAACCAAAAAGTAACATTTGAACCTAAATTCAATGACAGCATGTCCTTCAATTTCAAAGGAAGTGATTTGCTAAGAGAGCTTTAATGGCTTATCATTCCACAGCACTCTCCTGACACGCAGAGCCAAACACTAGGTAAAAGATGATGGCTTGTAAATTCTACTGATCCCTTCCTGAGGCTCCCCTCCACCCCGAAAATCCTACAAATGTGTACGCAGAATGAACAGGCCTCAGGGGACACCTGTGACCTTTCTGAAAAGGCTGTGACCACTTCTCAAAGCTGTCTTGGCCGCCCGCTCCTAACAGGTTCGGACATTCTATTTTGGGTCAAGGAGACTGCCTGCCACCCTAAGTGACCTCAAGTCGGACAAGATCAGTTTGAAAGAACGCACTGTGAGGATTCTGACACCAGGCCAGTGAGTCCCCCCACCCCCACCCCACTGCGAGACTCTCCAAAAGAGGATGAAAATCTGGTCGCGATCAAGGCAGGACGGTCAGGGGGCTCGCGCAGCCGGCCGCTCAGCTGCTCGGGATCCCGCAGCTGGCGGCCAGGCCGTGGCGTCAGGAGCACGCAGAGCCGCCGGGATCCCCGGGCGCGCAGCGAGCGGAGGGAGGCGGGAGGAAACCCGAGCGCGGTCAGGAGCCGGCAGGTGTCGCCGAGGTCGCCCGGGGCCGTCGCTGCCAAGTGAGCAAGTGCGGCTCCGCGCAGGGGACGGACGGGTCGCGTTCCCTAGCGGTGACCTTGAGCACTTGGTTCGACAGCTCCGCGCCTCAGTTTCCCCCCAGCTCCGCGACCGGGAGAGGGGGGAGTCCCAGCAGAAAAGGCACCGCCTCGGGCGCTCGGCACGGCGCCCGCTCGCTAGTAAAGCGCTGCCCGCCCGCCAGCGCCCGGGCTCCGCCGCCGCCCACCTTGAATTCAGCTCTTTTGCTCAAGGCTAGCTAGCACTCTACCACTTGAGCTACAGCGCCACTTCCGGTTTTCTGGTGGTTTATTGGAGATAGGAGTCTCACGGTCTTTCCTGCCCGGGCTGGCGCGGTGCCGGGCCACGAAGCACGCGTCGTCCCCGTAGCACGCGCCCTTCTTCAGGAGGCCCTTACGGAAGTCCTTGCCGAAGCCGCAGCCCGCCGTCACCAGCCCGTAGTCGCCGCCGCCGCCGCCGCCGCCGCCGCCGGCCCTGGGGTCGGTCTGCGAGAGGCCGCCGAGCACGGCGCGGGCCACCAGTCGCCCGTACGAGAGGACCGAGAACATCGCCGCCGCCGCCCCCCCGAGGAGGCGAGGGCCCCGGGCAGCGGGAGGACGCGGAGGCCCGGAGCCGGCTCTCTCCTCAACCGCCGCCGCCGCCGCGCCGCCGCCGGGGCGCTCCTCAGGGCGGCGCGCAGTAGCCGCCGCCGCCCCTGCCCGACGCGCGGGGCCTCGCACACGCTCCACTGCGCGCACCGGAGCCAGAGCGAGGTCAGAGCCGGCGGCTTCTCCGCCTCAGCCCGAGTGGGGTCCCGGCTGCAGCTGCCGCTGCTGCCGCCATCTTCCGCTCCACTAGCGTGTTCCGGGCCGCGCCGGCAGCACCGCCCCTCACTAGCCCCGCCTACCGCCCCGCCCCCGATTCGAGGCTCAGAACCAAGCCCCGCCCCCTCGGGCGCGCTGCCCTATGCTTTCATTGAGGTCGAGCATGCGCAGAGCGTGTGTGTGCTCTGCCTTCTGGGGGTTGTAGTCTCTGTGGAAATGGGCTGCCTAGGAGCCAGGATTTAGAACTCCCCCGATGAGGGACTAAGGTTTAGCTAAGGAGAATTACAGGTGGATTGGCTGGAGGTTTGGTTTTATTACTCGTTTATTTTGTCCACTTTATTCACTCATTTATTCCTTTATTTATGGTGCTGGGGTTTGAACTCAGGGCCTGTGGTTTCCCAGGCAGGCCCTTTCCCACTTGACCCCTCCCCCAGTCTTTAACGGTATCTTGGGGGTTGGAGGCATGGTTCAGGTGGTAGAGCGCTAGCTAAAGAGTGAAAGGGTCAGATACTGAATTTCGTTCCTTGTCGCGGACAAAAACAAAAACAAAGAAATAACAGGATCTTGTACATAAAGGCAGCATCACTTTAAACAATGATTTAGGTTATATATTATCCTACAACATACCCCTTGAGAAACAGCAGTACATAAATATAATGACTACTCCACAAGTAATGTTCTGGAAGAGTTCAGGGCATGAGTCTGTTTGGAGGGAAGAGAATTTTGCCTTGTGTTTTAGGAAGAATTGAGGAAAAAGATGTTATATGTCCCTAACTGTGATAGAGGCAGGACCACTGTGGACATAGCATATGTGTATGCGTTGCAAACATTATTAAATAGGGAATAAAGGTTCCATGTCCTAAATCTTAACCTTCTAGATAGTCTGCCTAGGACAAGTGTGTCTTCACCTGGCCTGTATGTAGAGGACATGAAGAACCCTAAAGACTTGAGAAGATGAAACCCCTTCCTCCTTTGACAGCTGCCACCTCTTCTCTTCAAGAGGTTAAAATGTGGGGCTGGGAATGTGGCTTAGTGGTAGCATGCTTCATGCCCTAGGTTTGATTCCTCAGTATCACATAAATAGAAAAGGCTGGAACTAATCTGGGCACAAATGATAGAGTGGCTAGCCTTGAGCAAAAAATGCTCAGGGACAGTGCCCAGATCCTGAGTTCAAGCCCCAGGACTAGCACAAAAAAAAAAAAAGAGGTTGACACTTGGCTTCTGGCTCACACCTGTAACCCTAGCTACTCAAGAGGTGCGACATGAGGATCCAGTTTCCAAGCCAACCTGAGCAGAAAAGTCCATGAGACTCTTATCTCCATTTAACTAGCACAAAGCCAGAAGTGGAGATGTGGCTCAAGAGGTAGAGCATCAGCCTTGAGTCAATACCTGAGGCCTGAGTTCAAGCCCTTGTACCAGCAAACACAAGCGTGCATGCACATACGTGCGTGCGCACACACACACACACAGAAAGAGAGAGGTCAGCTCTTGAGCAAAAAATAATAAATACTAGCCAGGCACCAGTAGCTCACATCTGTAATCCGAGCTACTCAGGAGGCTTAGATCTGAAGATCATGGATCAAAGACAGCCCAGGCACAAAAGTCTGTGAGACTGTTATCTCCAATAAACCACTAGAAAACCAGAAATGGCACTGTATCTCAAGTGGTAGAGAGCTCACCTTGAGCTGAAGAGCTGAGGGACAGAGCTCAGGCCCAGAGTTCAAGCCCCACAACGACAAAAATAATAATAAAAATAATAATAACAAAATGAGGTAGTTTTTTTGTGGTTTTTCTTGTAAGCTTTTAGCCCAGCTTCACCAAAGATAGCACATAGTCTCTCTCCAGACCTTGACTATTCTAAGCAATTTCCCTCCAAAGTTATTTAGGTTGAAGAACAGTTAAAGGTAATGGGGTTTGTCACCTACTAGATGAGCTCACTAAATACAATGTGTTTGTATGAGTGCATGAATGTAAAGACATTCAGAGCCATACTCTTCACGGGAGGGAGGGGAGAGGGAGGAATCTAGGTCCTGCATACCTTTTGTATCTCATTTGACACTGTGTCCTTTGTGCTAGTTGACCTCCAGCCAGGCGCTCAGCAGCCTCACAACCTTTGCCCCACCCATTAGCATGTAGTTTCAGAGTCTGAGGATCCCAGGCTTTTCAGTGCTGTGTGCAGGGCATGTGCACACACAGTCAATATTTCCTTCAATGAATGAAAGAGCAAACACCTCTCTGGAGTCTGTGGCCCCCCACAGCAATGACCATTTGCAGATATATTGGCAATATCTAATTCAATGCTTGGCACGCTATACGAGAATTTATAGCTGTTGGAAAAAAGAAAGAATCAGAACAAGGACCATAAATAACAAAAGAAACATGTACTGAATTATAAAATCATTGAATGAGTTCAGTTCAGACACAATAATAGAAAGGTCAAGCTTTGGGACAAGTAAACCAATTTGGAATTTTTTCGTTTAATTGAAGCATAAATATGTATCTGCCACCAGGAACGTTGGTCTTTTTCCAGTTCACTTTGATAGGGTTGTAATTACTTTGGGATTCCCATCTGATCCTTTAAATATTCCTTTCTAAATATTTTCTGCATGTACCTAAAGTCCTGCCAGCCAGCTACTCAACACACTTGATTCAGTTATCCTAATTATTGCTGGCAATAAACGATTTTGCATTAGAGTATGCCAAGCACTCTACATGCCTCTGCCCTCAAAGGTTTTCATCAAAACTAAACTGAATAAACTTTGCACAGTGGGCGGCACTTTGTCAAAAACACATAGATGGCTGGGAAGGTGGCTTAGTGGTAGAGTGCTTGGATTGGATTCCTCAGCACCACATAAACAGAAAAAGCCCTGAGTGGTGCTAGGGCTCAAGAGGTAGAGTGCTAGCCTTGAGCAAAAGCAGCTCAGGGACAGTGCTCAGTCTCACAGACTTTCCTGCCCCGGCGGGATTTGAACTGTGATCCTCAGATCTCAGCCTCCTGAGTGGCTAGGATGACAGGTGTGAGCCACCAGCGTCCTGCTACCCCTTTTTTTTTAAAGAGCAGTCTCTTGGGATCCTAGGTTGGCGCCTCTTGGAATCCTATGTACCAAGTCCATTCTGCCAGCTGCTCTGAAAGGTTGTTCTTTGAAGCCAGCACACCACTACCAAGTCCTGGCCAGCCTGCCAGGTCATTCTACCCCGAGGGCAAGCTTTTTTAAAAACAGTATGTCAACCCCTATTCCTGGACTTCCCAGCCTCCTACAGACCAACATCTTCTCTCATTCACAGGGACACCAGTTCCAGGTTGGTTACAAGAACCAGTTATGACTGGATCTGTCACCTGTAATCCTAACTGCTTGAGAAGCTGAGTTCTAAAGATCAAGGTTCAAAGCCAGCTGGGGCAGATAAATCCCAGAGACTCATATGTCCCATTAACCAGCAAAAAAAACAAGCCAGAAGAGAAGGAGTGGCTCCTGTGGTAGAGCACCAGCCTTGAGTGAAAAAGCCAAGCAAGACCCCAAGCCCTGGGCAAGCTGCACCGTGAGGGGCGACCCTCCCACAGGTGATTCTGTCCTGAGCTGGCGGGAATGTCCCTTCTGTTCAGGTGGTGCGCAAAATATTTTCTCAAAGTTCCTTTTTTTTTCTTTTCTTTTAAAGAGAGGAGTGTTTGGGGTCCCCTTGCATTGTTGACCTCTGAAGTGTGGCCAGCCATGAAGCCAGGAGAGACTTCTGTGAAAAGCACCGCCATGCCCGCCCCTAGGGGCACAACTTGCAGTTGACATTTTGCTGGACTTAGAGGCAGCGTTCTCTTCCTTAATAGAGTTACATTCCTAGCACTTCAAGGATTCCTAGGAGGTCAGTTGCTACTCCCAGAGGCAAGCAAGTGTGCAAATACCATCTGTTCCCTGGGCACCCCTGTGGTACTCAGAAAGAGTTTTGGATAGGAGTTGCCCTAACCTCAGCTCCTAAAAAAAGACCGCGGGGGGGGGGGCAGGGAAGAAAAGCATGAGTTTTCTAAAGAGGACTTCCTGCCAAACTGGTATACAGGTCTCTTCAGATTTCCTTTTGCTAACTCTAGCCAATGGAGCACTCATTTGTTGTGGTTTGGGTTGGTTGGGTGTGTTTTTGTCTTTTTCTTTTTTTTTTTTTTTTTCTTTTTTTGCGGGTCATGGGCCTGAACTCTGGGCCTGGGCGCTGTCCCTCAGCTCTTCAGCTCAAGGCTAGTGCTCTACCACTTGAGCCACAGCACCACTTCTGGTTTTTTCTGTTTATGTGGTGCTGAGGAATCAAACCCAGGGCCTCATGCATGCAAGGCAAGCACTCTACCACTGAGCCACCTTCCCAGCCCCGTCTTTTGCTTATTTTTGTGCTAGCTGTGTGGCTTGAACTCAAGGCCTGGGTTCTGCCACTTAGCTTTTTCAATCAAGGCTGGTGTTGTGCCATTTGAGCTTTTTAACTGATGAATTGAAGATAAATGTTCCATGGATTTTTCCTGCCTGGGCTGGCTTCACATTTCTATCCTCACTCCTCAGCCTCCTGAGATAGTGGGCTGCGGTGCCTTCATTCATTTGTTTATAGATTTCTCCAACCACACTAGAAAAACTTTGCTGTGAAGGGCTGTCCTGGGTGCTGAGGGGGAGGTACTAATCAACAGCACCCCTCATCTCTACCCATTAGATATCAGTAGTCCCCCTCTCACTCCTAATTAAGAGAATGGAAAATGTCTCCAGGGATTGCCATACACCCTGTGGGGGGCAAAGCTCCCAGATGAGAATCACTGGGGTGTGGAGGTGTTGGGCAAGTGAACAAATATTAATGAAACGCTTGTTAGATCTGAAACAGCCCATAACCCCCCAGCTGACGGCCAAGCTTGGTAGGAATAGGAGGAGGCTAAAATTAACTCCAGGGAAGAAAGGTGTGACCGCAGGTGAAGTGCAGAAGTAAGGAAGAGAAGTATGTTATGAATGGGCGGCAGTTGTGGGAAGCCAGAGGCTTCTGGAAAAGGGATACCCATCTTTTTTTTTTTTCTTGCCAGTCTTGGAGCTTAAACTCAGGGCCTGGGTACTGTCCTGAGCTTCTTTTTGCTCAAGGCTAGCACTCTACCACTTGAGCCACAGCACCACAGTTGACTTTTCCTGTGTATGTGGTACTACAGAATGTAATGTAGGGTTTCGCACATGCTAGGCAAGCACTCTTCTGCTAAGCCACATTCCCAGACCCCCGGTTTTTTGTTTTTTTTTTTGTCAGTCACAGGGGCTTGAACTCTGGGCCTGGGCACCGTCCTTTAGCTTTCAGCTCAAGGCTAGAGCTCTACCACTTGAGCCACAGTGCCACTTCCAGCTTTTTCTGCTTATGTGGTGCTGAGGAATCGAACCCAGGGCCTCATGCATGCAAGGCATGCACTCTACCACTGAGCCACCATCCCAGCCCTCTTTAAAAAGATTTTAGCAATATGATTTATTTGAGAAGAAAGTATTTAAAAGGTTAATAATGAGTACTCCCACAAATTAACCAAGTAAACTACAATAATCTCCTTTGACCTTCTGACCCTCTACAAACTTGTCTACACCAATCATCAAGGGATACCCATCTTCCAAGGAAGCATTAACTGGCTCACACCTGTAATCCTAGCTACTCTGGAGGCTGAGATTTGAGGATCATGGTTTGAAGCCTTGAATGGAAAAGTCAATGAGACTTGTATCCCCAATTAATCTATAATAAGATGGAAATACAGCTATAGCCTAAGTATTAGAGCACTAGTCTTGAGTAATAAAGTTCAGGGACAGTGCCCAGGCCCTAAATTCAAGCCCCAGGACTGGCACAAAAAAAACCCCAAAGCCTTGAGGCATATCTCAAGTAGTAGAGCACCAGCTGTGAGCCAGAAAGGCCAGCAAGAGCTCTAGGATCGGAGTTCAAGCTTTAGTACCAGCAAGGGCACACACATGTACACACACAGAGTTCATACCAGTAGGACAAGATGGCCACACAACTTGAATCTCAGAACTTAGGGAGGCTGAGGCAGGAAGATTGGGAGTTTGAGACCAGTATGGTCTATATCTCAAAACAATAAAGTTCAAATCAGAAGGTGGAACTGGATTGAACTGGTGAACTAGAACAAAGTCCCAAGACTCGAAGGCTGCCCTTGGAAGCCTTTAGAGGAACTAGCCACAACTAGCCACAGACCAGTCTTTCCAGTCCATTCATCTTGCTTAGAACCAAGTATGGAAGTTACATTTTCCTCTGCTAGGACTCACTTTCTTTCTTTCTTTTGTTGTCATGACGCATGAACTCTGGGCCTGGACGCTGTCCCTGAGCACTTCAGCTCAAGGTTAGGACTCTACCACTTGGAGCCACAGCACAGCACCACTTCCGGTTTTCTAGTGGTTTATTGGAGATAAGAGTCTCATGGACTTTCCTGCCCGGGCTGGCTTTGAACCGCGATCCTCAGATCTCAGCCTTCTGAGTAACTAGGGTGACAGGCGTGAGCCGCCAGCGCCCGCTGGGACTGGCTTTCCTGTGTCTCTCATTGTAATATTCTGATTTTCCTTGAGGAATAATCCAATATAGGGTCTTGAAGATGGGATGAAAATGGACCAAAGTCTCCAAGAGTAGACACAGAAACCAGGACTGACCTGTCACAGCAGCGTATTCGCTTGCTTGAACTTGATTGGTCCAGAGAGAAAGCACATGACCCGAGCCAGACCAATTAACTTCAAGTATGAGATGTCACTGAAAGTTAAGAATGAGAATGACAGGCTCATCACCAGGGATCCTACGCTGGTGGATGCAGGCTTAGTACTGGTGGCTTTTTTTTTTTTTTTTGCTACTTCTTGGCTATAGAAGCAGCCTGAGAATAAAGCCAAGAGGGATGGAAGCAGAGCCTGGAGTTGGTAAGACACAAGGCTGGAGACAATGCCGAGACTCCCAGTCCAGTTTTGCCTGAGCGGAGGTGGCTCCCAGCCCCTGCATCTCCCCTCCCCCGCCCACACACACCCAGCGTCTAAGCTTGGTTTTGACTTGCAAAGCAATAACTCCTAGCCAATATATCATGTGACCCAGGTACCATGGCTACCTTTATTGAATCCAGAACCAAGTTCCTAACCAAGGGCAACTGATGGAAGGGAACAAATCCTCTGCTTTTCTGCACAAAACTACAGAAGGAAACAGGTCTGACTTCTTTATTCCAACTGTCCTTGAGATGTGGGTGACTTATGTGACTGGTGGGCTTTGGAAAGAATGTTGAAGATGTTGCCCATGACACCCCTTCCACCCCCAAGCTCCTTGTGCTGGTACTGGGGCTTAAACTTAAGAGTCTGGACATTGTCCCTGAGCTTTTTTGCTCAAGGCTGATGCTCTTACCTCTTGAGCCACTGCTCCATGCCTGATTTCTTGGTGGTTAATTGGCAATGATTCTCAGTCTGTCTTGTGTGGACTGGCTTTAAACCATGACCATCGAATCTCAGCCTCCTGAGTAACTAGGGTTACAGGCATGAGCTACCAGTCCCAGGGGCCTTTTCTGTACTTGTTAAGTCCTTCCTAACTGTTGGACACACACAATTCCTTCTCCATTGTGGGGGCGTGTCCCCGTGGAGTTTTGACCCAACCTTGGGTGGTAGAAATCAGCTTGCTCTAGAGGGGAAACTGTGGGCACAGTTTAGCCAGGGTCTCCCATCAACCTCATAAATAATACTTGTCCCATACATTCTGGCTGCCTGCCTCCTGCCTCCATTTCAGAGTGGGCTTAGAGTCCTGGAAAGGTCAGGACATACCTGTCAACCTAACTACTCAAGAAGGTGAACTAACAAGATCTCCATTTGAAGCCAGCCTAAGCAGAAAAGTCCATGAGACTCTTTTTTTTTTTGGTTGGTCGTGGGGCTTGAACTCTGGGCTTGAGCACTGTCCCTCAGCTCTTCAGCTCAAGGCGAGCACTCTACTACTTGAGCTACAGCGCCACTTCCGGTTTTCTGGTGGTTTTATTGGAGATAGGAGTCTCAGGGTCTCTCCTGCCCGGGATGGCTTTGAACGCGATCCTCAGATCTCAGCCTCCTGAGTAGCTAGGATTACAGGCATGAGCCACCAGCGCCTGGCTCCATGAGACTCTTATTTCCAACAAACCACCAAAAAGCCAGAAGTACAGCTGTGGCTCAAGTGGTAGAACAGCCAATCTCGAGCAAAAAAAAAAAAAAATATATATATATATATATAAAAGGATATAAGGCCCTGAGTTTAAACTGGCACTAACACACAAAATGTTTGGGGAGACAAACAACATAATTCCATTATGACCCTGATTAAATTCTAAAAGGGTCATTACAATATCCTCTTCAGAAAACTCAGACACAAAGATCAATGTTTGGGGGAGCTAAAAGAACACGTGGAGATCAAATTTCTATTGTAGTCAGGATCCAGGGCCTCCAGGTAACTGTAGGGCAAGTGAATTTTTAATCTGGGTGATTTGTGATAGCTGGAATTGTTGGGCAGGATTTTAACTGGCAAAGGCCTGGGGGCCAGGGCCTCTGGGCTGGCCTTGGCCTTGACCTAGCCTGCCTGAGCACAGTTTTGACCTCAGCTGGCAGCTGGAACACAGGATTAGATTATTGAGGAGAAAACCCGTTGGTCCCACCCTGGGGAGGAGGCTTCCCTGACCAAGGGCAGACCTTGGGCTCTGAGAGCTGCAGGCTGGTGGGCAGGAGGTTCTGCTTGTTGCCTAGCAGGTTGACTCTAGTTTGTTTATTGCAGAAGCTCTGACCCTAGCAGTGGACCTGGGAAGCCCAGTCTCTGACTTTCACCCACAGACTGGAGTATGGTTTTATTCAAGAAAACAAAGAGAACAGTGGCCTTATGGTATAGCAGTCATGCTTTTGGGTGTAGGCAGGGACAGCTTAAACTAAGAAGGAGGGGAAATTGGTCTGTTCAAGAAGTCAAGGAAGCTGGGTGCCCGAGGCTCACACCTCTAATCCTAGCTACTTAGGAGGCTGAGAGCTGAGGATCATGGTTCAAAACCAGCCCTGGGAGGAAAGACCATGAGACTCCTATCTCCAATAAACCACCAGAAAATTGGAAGTGGCGCTGTAGTGCAAGTGGTAGAGCACTCACCTTGAGCTGAAGAGCTGAGGGACAGAGCTCAGACCCACAGTTCAAGCCCCAGGACCACCACCACCAACAAAAATACATGCTTGGTCATACTACCAGAAAAGAGACAAATAGAGGAAGACCAGCTGCTTGAACTGGAGGAAGACAAGTGTTTTTTTGTTTTGGGTTTTTTTTTTTTATTGTTGCTGTTGGTCATGAGGCTTGAACTCAAGGCTGAGGTGCTGTCACTGAGCTCTTTTGCTCAAGGCTAGTGCTCCACCACTCTGAGCCACAGGGCCATTTCTGGTTTTCTGGTGGCTTACTGGACAGAAGAGTCTCACTGCCTCTGGTGCCTGTAGCTCATGCTTATAATCCTAGCTACTCAGGAGGCTGAGATCTGAGGATTCCTATTCAAAAGCCAGCCTGGGCAGGGAAGCCTGTGACACTCATCTCTAATTAAGCACCAGAAAATGGGAAGTGGAGCTGTGGCTCAGAGCACTAAAATCTTGAGCAAAGGAGCTCAGAGATAGGCCTTGGGTTCAAGCCCCATGACTGACAAAAATAAGAAAGAAATTAGCTCCCTAACTTACTTAAATAGAACAATAAATTCGTGTGTGTGTGTGTGTGTGCGCGCATGTCAGTACTGGGACTTGAATTCAGGGTCTGGGCATTACCCCTGAGCTTTTCTGCTCAAGGCTAGGATTGTAGGCAGTGTAATGAGCCTCCACAATGAGCCACTGGCACCTGGCCCTGAATGTTTTCTCTTTTAAACATTCTCTATAACACAGGCTCTTTTGTTAGTTCATAGGTGCTACTGTTAATTACTAGAGAACAACAAAATAGAGCAAACCGGAATGTCAAAAGCTAACCGGTGACTCATTCAAATATAGAAAGAATACATAACAAACATTTATTCATCTTGACAGAAATAACCAGTAAGATAGTGAGACAGACTGAGAGAACATTTTGAGAAAGTAGGAAACTTGGTTAGATGCAAACTGGTTAATCTCCAACAGGGCAGTAAGAATTGTAAGCCCTGACCCCAATAGCTCACACCTGTCATCCTAGCTACTCAAGAGGCTGAGACCTGAGGATCACAGTTCAAAGCCAGCCTGGGAAGAAAAATCTGTGAGACTCTTAACTCCAATCAATTACTAAAAAAGTAGAAAGTAGAGCTGTGGCTCAAGTGGTAGAGTGCTTGCCTTAAGCTGAAGAGCTCAGGGACAGAGTTCAAGCCCCACAACTGACTCCCCCCAACCAAGAAAAAGAATCTGAGTCTTTAATCAATAGTAAATAGCAAGGCAAGTGCACATGCATTTTTCTGGCTGAAATAATGTAATTAATGGGCCAAATCTGCCATTTTATTAATTATTGTGGGGGGGGAGGGAGAGGTAAGGCTTGAACTCTGGACCTAGATGTTGTCCCTGAGATTTTATACTCAAAGCTGGCACTCTTCCACTTGAGTCACACCGCCACTTCCAAATTTTTTCTGGTTTGGAAGTGGCGCTGTAGCTCAAGTTGTAGAGCGCTCGCCTTGAGTTGAAGAGCTAAGGGACAATGCCCAGGCCCAGAGTTCAAGCCCCACGACCGACAAAAAAAAAAAAAAAACACCAAATTTTTGCTGGTTTATTGGAGATAAGAGTCCCACAGACTTTTCTGTTTTCTGCTCCAGCTGGCCTCAGATCCTCATATCTCAGCCTCCTGAGTGGCTGAGATTAGCCAGGCGCAAACCCACTGGTTTATGGCAACCTGCTGGTTTTTCTCACAGAATAGGGCATTGGACTTGGGAGTAGGGACTCCCGTCTGGGCTCCACCTCCTCGTACACCTTCATTGGGGAGTTTTCTTGGGAGGGAATGATGTTCTAGTTGTAGAGCTGTTGCTCATTGTTGGCGCTATCATCTGATCAATGCTGTCCCCTGGCACCTGGTGAATGCTCATTCAGACCAAGGAAGGTTTCTCCCATTCAAGGTCAGCCCTGGGAGAAGACTCAAGTTTTGGTGACAGAGACTGTCACCTACAGGTACAAAGTGGAATTGCAAGAGTGCAACCTGATCATCTTTGGAAAATGTCCCACTTTCAGGCAAGATGAAGTTAGTTTTCTTTTTAGCCTTTTTTTTAAAATTGTGAGAATACCGTACAGTCTTTTTTTTTTTTTTTGAGTCCATCAGTATCATCCTGTCCTTTCACAGAGAGGAGCCTGGGTTCTTACTCCAATCGTATTTTCCCAATAATGTTTTAAAGCCTTTTGGCAATGTAGGAAATACCTTGTGTCATCTTCTGCCCCATTTGCAGAGGCTGCATTGCATTTGAGGGCCTCGGCACTAGAAGCCATGTTCAAGGTCACACAGTTACTATGGAGTCTGAGCCCAAACACTGGTTATAGAATACATGCTTTTTCCACCAAAAAAAGTTTGTTTGTTTAGAATAGTTCCAGAGCCAGGTGACAGTGGCTCATGCCAGTAATCCTCACAACTCAGGAGGCTGAGACTTGAGGATTGATATTTAAAGCCAGCCTAGCAGCCTAGGTAGGAAAATCTGTGAGACTATTTTTTTTTTTTTGGTCAGTCGTGGGGCTTGAACTCTGGGCCTGGGCGCTGTCCCTCAGCTCTTCAGCTCAAGGCAAGCG